TAAAACCAAATGGTTTTTTCCTCAAAAAAAAAAAACATTTGGTTTTTTCCCCCATGAATAATTTAGAATTGCATTTTTATTTATAATTATATTTTTCAAATTGTTTGATGTTGTAAATAACTTCAACTTTCAACCAAACAACTCAACTCATTTCAGCAGCATACCTACTTTTGTTTTGTGTAGATGTAGAATTTATTAATGTTAATGTTTAAGAACAAAAATGTCCAACTCTGGTGGTAGAAGAAAAGATTTAATTTGGTTATATTTTGATGAACTAAAAAATGATAAAAAGAAAGGATGCAGGGCTATATGTAAAAAATGTAAACAAGAAATGGAAGGTCAAGTTCTAAGAATGAAGAAACATGTAGGAACATGTAGCAATCTTGATTCTGTTAATGATTCTATTGGTAAGTAATTATTACACTTAATTATTTTTAAATGTAAAAATAACACTTCAATTATTTTTAATTGTTAAAGCTAATTATCATTTGAAAAGCTAAATGTTTGCTAAATCAAAAATACTTGAGAACAAGAACATCTTAGATGTACACATCTACACATTCTGAGAATGTTGATTTTCATTCAATTAAATGAATATATTCTTATCAAAATTTTTATACTTCCTGTAAATTATATTTAGTTGAAAAGGTTATAAATCAATACTACTAAATAAATATAATTTTTTTGTATGTTTTTTTAAAGAAGTTATTTTAAAAATATTATCAAGCATTAAAAATCATATCAAGCTAATTCTAGCTTAAGTATTAAACAAATATTAAAAATACAATGCATTTTTTAATTAATTAAAATGAAGAGGAAAAATTAAAGTTTTATATTGAATTAGGAAATTAAAAATGTTGATATATAAAAATGTTGATATATAATATAATATGTGCTNTAAATGTCATTAAGCATCTTCTTAATTTTATGCAGATTGTGATGATGATGTGTCAAACTCAATTTCCAGTGCTTCCAGTTCTTTAGATTCTTCAAGCATACAACCAACTACAAGTGAAATCAGGTCTCAAAAAAGGAAAAGAGAAGATAAAATTCTGGACAATTTTTTTAGCAAATCGACACCAGCTCAAAAACAAAAGTTTGATGAGCAAATTGCCAGGTTCATTTATACTACAAATGAAGCATTTCACACTGTGGAACATCAAGAGTTTATTAAAATGGTTCAGAAATTTCGGCCAGAATATTTTTCTCCATCAAGAAAAGAAATTGCTTGTGGT